GCGAGCTGGTCTCCGGATTCCATCCTTAGGCTACCAGAAGGTTCTCCCTTTGGTGGCGAGGTCAAGCCATCTCTGCCAGGGATGCTTCCGTTTGCCTGGAAGCAGGGGTTGTTGGACTTGATGGCCTCGTTGAACCCTTCCAAGCCGAAGACTCCATTCTAGCTGTGTCACGGGTGTGCCGAGACACCACGTTGCAGCAGGGATTCAGCTCTGTATAAAAGGTGCTTGAACGTCCAGCCTACCTGTCCTGGAGATTTTTATCCATTTTTATCTCACCTGTATTTGAAAACATCCAGGTGGCTCACCATGGCTGTAGCTGGACCAGAAAAAAAGGGGTTTGGAAGAGCTGGCTAGAATCTCTCCTGGCCAGATACCTCAATGCCCTTCTTTGGATGACAGGATGCTAACCCTCAAGGTGTGTTGCTGAACACCAGGCCTGGATGTCTGCAGTGCCAACTTTTGGCAAAAAAAGACCACGTGAAGGGCTGGCGAAGTGACGGCAGAAACGGCGGCTGAGCAACCTGCTTTCCAGCTTGCCCCAGGCTAGGTAAAAAAAGAATTTCTTCCACAATGGGGGAAATAATGCTCAGGTTCAAAATAATGTATATCGTGCCTATAATGTGTGGGTGCTCCACCGCTGGAGGTTTTTAAGAAAAGACTAGACAGCCAACAGTCTGAAATGGTGCTTGAGCAGGGGGGTGGACTAGAAGGCCTCCAGTGTTCCTTCCAGCTCTATTTGATTGCTAGATTGATGGATTCTGCACCAAGACTTTGAGAAGAAGCATGGGCTGCAGACTTCTGACACAAGTGCAGCTTAGCCACTGGCAGTACAGAGGACTTCCTTTCAAGGCAGGAAGGTTATCCATTATCCAGATAAATAAACTTTCCATGATGTGCCTCGATCTGAAGCTGGAGGGATCTGCATTACGACGGGCACATCTCTGCAACTCCCAGAGAAGCAGCTCTGGAGGCAGAGAGAGGCTTGCAAAGAGACTCCTTCAAGGTTCAACACTTTGGACAGCTCTTGAGATGACAGATAGAGGAGTTGTCCAGCCAACTAGGATTTCCAGAGTGCCAGGGTAGAAATGGCAAATTTCTGGTTATTTATTTAAAACATTTGTATCGGGGGGGTGTGTGTGTCTCCAACTTCAAGACCGGTGGACTTTGACTCCCAGAAGTCTACAAGTCTTAAATCTGCACAACGGTAAGAGAAGTTGCTCTGGGCGCAGAAAGAATCAAGGCACCTGGATGGTTCAGCACCTTGGGAAGCTCTGGGGTGACAGATCGAGGGTCTGTCTAGACGAGCAGGATTTCCGGAGTGCCAGGGTGTTGATGGTAATTTCTGGTTATTTATTTAAAACATTTGCATTGGGGGGCCCCAACTTTAGCAACTTTAAGACCTGTGGACTCCCAGAATTCTGAGAGTCGAAGTCCGCAAGACTTAAATCTGCAATTCAGAGAAACCACCGTGGAGGCAGAAAGAGGCTTGCAAGGCGGTTCAGCACCTCGGACAGTTCTGGGATGACTGACAGAGGGTCTGTCCAGCTGGCTAAATGGGGGGTTCTAGGAGTTGAAGTCCACCTGAACGGGGAATTCTCAATCATCCAGGTCGTGGGTGTCCCAAAGGTGCTGTCTTTCAAAAGGCAACGGGACTTTCTTGTTTGGCTTGAAGACGTTTCGCTTCCCATCCAAGAAGCTTCCTCCAAATGGCCTCAAGGATTCTCAGAAAGAATACTAACGGCCAGATGACTGCAAGGAATATAAACCCTTGCCTCTTCCATCGTTCAGTCGAAATGGAAGAAGCTTTTTGGATGAGAAGCGAAACGTCTTCAAAGAAAAAGCAAGAAAGCCCAGTCGGCTCTTGAGAGAACACCTATGGGGTGTCCATCTGAGTGGGAGCACCAGGGTGGAGAGGTCAAAACCAGGTTATTTATTTGAAACATGTATACCGCCACCCACCTTGAAACCACTGAAGCTGGATTAGACAGGGCTGCATCAAACTGACTCACAGCGAGGCGAGCAGGATGGCAGAGGCGCTTGGGAGGTGACACGTGTGTGTGTGTGTGTGTGCGTGTGCCTGATAAAAGCTGGCAAAGCCCAGCTGCCAAGAAGACCTCCCTGCCTTGCTTGCCTGCAAGCAATGACCTCAGGTAGATTCGCTCCCTCCGCTTTGAAGTTTCCGGAGGTGGGGGAAGCAGAGGGAGAAGCCAGGACGACGGTGTGTGATTCAACCCCAAAATGGATTTGGAAGAAGGGATTTCCAGTCAGGATGTCTTGCCAGGACCAAAGGCAACCTTCCAATTTCGTAATAGCACCTTCCAGTTTCCCGAGTCACCTGGCTGGATTCAGCGGAGGTTGGAACCGGCCCATTGCCCGAAGAGGATTCCCCCAAGGCACACTTAATTGAACGGAAGGTTGGGAAAACGGGACACTCCGGAACGGTTTGTCCAAGATCTACGGGGTAGAAATATTCTACATTTCCCTGCTTTAGATAAGGCAGAGGTCTGTGTCTGCTAAAGATCTCCTCCCTCCCCGGCATTCTTGACTGAATGAAGTTCTCCCTGTCCATATTTCCCTGGGGGAGCAGCTCTCTTCTTGCAGACCCCTTCCTTGCCCTCGCTTATCTCCCGCCAGCTCTGTGCTTCTCCGATGCGGGCCGTGAACTCTCATGACGACCAGCCTTTTCAAGGAATAAGCTAGATGAGAACGCGATATGCAGGGAGTCACACACACGCACACACCCCGCCACTGATGATGAAAGGAGATGCAAAAATTTCTCGATCGGGAGAAAATGTCATGGCGGAAAGGATGTCAAGGACTCCCATCATTGACGGGGGAAGAGGGGAGGCTTAGAGAAAGAGAAAAAAGGGGGGTGGAAAAAGGAGAATATGGGCCTTTTCATTTCAGCTACAGAAGGTGGCCTTTTCTTAGTGAATGGAGGAATCTATAGACTAGAGCACTTTTTCTCGACCTTGTGAACTTTAAGATGGGAGACTTCAACTCCCAGAAGTCTCCCTGGGCATTGAAGTCCCTCTGAATGGGGAATTCTGGGCATTGAAGTCCCTCTGAATGGAGAATTCTGGGCGTTGAAATCCACCTGAATGGGGAATTCTGGGAACTGAAGTCCACCTGAATGGGGAATTCGGGGCGTTGAAGTCCGTCCATCTTAAAAGTTGACAAGGTTGAGAAAGAAAGCTGCAGAGGGCCAGTGAGATGGACTTGAAGCTAAAACCCATTACATAAAAAAGCCAGTTGTTAAGTTAGTAACCCGGTTGTTAAGTGAGTCTGGCTTCCCCACTGGCTTTACTTGTCAGAAGGTCACCAAAGGGGAATCACGTGACCTCAGGATGATGCAACCACCATAAATGCGAGTCAGTTGCCAAGCGTCCCAATTTTGATCATGTGGCTATGAGGACGGCTGCAATGGTCGTGAATGTGAAAGACGGCCATCCGTCTCTTTTTTTCAGTGCCGTCGTAACTTTGAATGGTCACTAAATGAACTGTGGTTAAGCTGAGATCTCCCTGTGCAGGAGTTGTGTTTCTGCACCACATGGGCCAAATGTGCAATCAGTTGATTTGGGGTTTCTCAGAAGAGGGGTTTCCTTGGGGGGGGGGGGGGGGGTGGCAGTTGACAGACGTTCTTAAGGGCACCAGGAGAAAAAGCAGCAGGTGGGAACCGAAAGCTGGGAAGATTTCCTGACCGGAAGAGAAACGGAAACCGTCTGCTGAAAACAGAATGATTTCTCCTCAAAGTTTGTACCTGTCCATGGCAGCTTCATGGCTTTCCACAAAGGGGTGGTGTGGCAGGTTGGACTAGATGGTCTCTAAGACCCCACCCTACTAATCCGTTCTGTGACTTCAAGCGAGAAGCCCAACTGAGATGGGTAACTTTTCTGGGTGGGTGGATGGGAAATGTCCCCCTTTTAGCCACGTGTCCCATCTCGGTGGGCTATGCTGAGCTTTTCCGAAGGAAAGCAGAGCCCGCTAGTCTACCGTCTTCCCCGTTCAGCCCCAAGACCGAATCCTGAGTGACGCTATTTGTTGAACTGACGGGAAGGGGCGAAATTTTTTTAAAAATAAATCCTGACCCCCTACAGATGGGGGAGGGTATTCCAGATCGAAACTCGGGGGCAGGGGTGGGATTCGAAAATCCCAGCAACCGGTTCGCTGCCCAGTAGCTGGGTGGGCGTAGCCATGGTGGGCGTGGCCTGCCGGAACTTCTGGGAGGGGCATTTTTCACCTTCCCCCCAGAGTCCGGAGGCTCCCCTTGGGCCTCTGGGAGGGGGAAAACCGCTTCCCCTGGGGAACAGACGTCCTCTGGAAGCCGGAAACAGGCCCATTCCCAGAAGGCCCATTTTTTGCCCCCCCCCCCAGAGCCTCTGTGTGGATCCTGCACTTACCCACACCCAAAATGGTCCCCGTGAAGACTCCTGGGAGGGGCGGGGTGGGCGTGGCCAGCTGGTCGGTCAGTTCAACTACCCAGTTGTCAATTTAACATCCAGTTCATTCGAACCGTTCCGAACCGGCTGAATTCCACCCCTGCTTGAGGAGCAGAGGAAGACTTTGCGTGCAATTTTCCAGCATCTCCAGAGAAGTGGGACCGTTTAAAGAAAGACCTTTCTTGCCGGAGTTGCTTCAGAAGGGGATGGAGACTGGCTCAAGACCCCCAACCCTCTGCCCCTCTGAAAGACCCCCACATCCTAAGGCTCTCCCTTCCAATTCACCCGTCCTCCTTCCGGTTCTGCCCATCCTTCCTTGGCTTGCAACCAAGTTGGGTGAGTGAGCACCAGAGCTTCTGGAAAGCCACAGGAGATGCCACCAAGAATGCCAGGGCAGGTGCCTGCTATGCCCTATTGCCCTCCCCCCCCCACCTGTGGCAGAAAGGAAGAGAGGGCTGGGTGGTTCCAACCTCCGCTGTTTTGGGGGGGAGGGGAGAGAGAGAGAGAGAGAGAGAGAGAGAGACAGGGGGTGACGGCAGCCACCGCTTTGTGGTCCCCTACCTGCCGGGTATCGTTCGTTGATGGGCCAGTTGTCCACCTGCAGCGTTGCGTTGCCGCCGCTCCGGGTGAAACGCACCACGTGGTACTTGCCGTCGTTCACCATGGCGTTGCTCTCCTCGATCGTGATGTCGTCCGTGCCCACGTTGAAAATGACGCCCACAGTCCCCTGGTCCTGCAGGGAGTGAAGGGTGGTGGGAAGGAAGAAGGGGCAAAGAGAAAGGGGGAAAGGAAATTGGGTCAGGGGTCTCAGAAAGAAGGGAAATCTCCAGCCGGATTGCAGAAATTCTGGCATTTGCCCCCACAAAAAAAAAGGAATCCTCTAATATTACGACCAGCTTTGGGGGGTCTCCAGCAGTCATCACCTGAATATCAATTTATTCCATTTTAGAAGCTGCTTCTTCTCCAAGAGCTCAAGGGTGTGAATAGAATAGAATAGAATAGAATAGAATAGAATAGAATAGAATAGA